AAAACAAGGACCTTCCGTTAGCATATTTAATTGAATAAATGTAAGCAGGAGCTGTTATCCGGGTAAAACACGGACCTTCCGTTAGCATATTGAATTGAATAAATGTAAGCAGGAGCTGTTATCCGGGTAAAACACGGACCTTCCGTTAGTATATTTAATTGAATAAATGTGAGCAGGAGCTGTTTTCCGGATAAAACACGGACCTTCCTTTAGCATAGTTAATTGAATAAATGTTTTAAAGCAGGAGCTGATATCCAGATAGAACCACGGACCTTCTGTTAGCTTAGTTAATTGAATAACTGTTTTAAAGCAGGAGCTGATATCCAGATAGAACCACGGACCTTCCGTTAGCATATTTAATTGGATAACTGTATTAAAGCAGGAGCTGATATCCAGATAGAACCACGGACCTTCTGTTAGCATATTTAATTAAATAACTGTATTAAAGCAGGAGCTGATATCCAGATAGAACACGGATCTTCCGTTAGTATATTTAATTGAATAACTGTATTAAAGCAGGAGTTGATATCCAGATAGAACCACGGACCTTCTGTCAGCCAGATGAAGTACATATAAATGATTTAGATTCGAGTAGACATACACGTTTTTTAGGTAGAACAACCACTGTTTCGCAAATAATATGACAACACTGAATTTTATTAACCGATTTTCAAAAAAAAAAAGAGTAAAAAACTAAAAAAAAAAAAAAAAAAAAATAAGTTCTGGCTTCCAAAATCTGTAGTGTTTGAAATTTTTTTTTTTTTTGTACAATAGAATTGCAGTTTTTCAAATGAATCGGAACACATCTACTTTGGTTAATCGGCAAACTGTTAATCAGTTTAGTAAATCCACTGCTTAGAAATATAATTTAAAACACTAAGTCGGTTAAAATTTAGTAGTACGTTTTTACAAAATTAAATTGTTCGCACGGCTGCGCTGCGCCTGACCAATTTAATTTTGTAAATACGTACTTATAAACTGATGCAGCACCAGACCCGTAATGAAACATAACCAGATTAACATACATTGATTTAACCTTTTCATTTGCAATTGCCCCTGTCCCAATTAATTCTTGTGCATTTTGCGACAAAACAAGTATTTAATATCTTCTTTTAACATGAAAATTACCATTAAAATTGCCTATCTAACTGTGAAGCACCACACTAAATACCGTATTCCGGTATGTACCGGACAATTCGATTGAATGACAAAATCTTGCCTTTTCATGCAAAAGATGAACTTTAAAACGTCTAATTCATCTGTTCATAAGTAAGTTTTTAAGTATGATAATGAATGAAAAATGTAAGAATCGGCGGAAAAAGATATTTGTCTATTTTGTGATCACGATTTCTACTGCTCCAGTCCTGTATTGAGTTAAACCCTTAAAGTCATTTACTATATTTAGAACATCTTTTTTGACATGAATCAATACTGATACTTAAAGAAAAAGTTTATATTTTTTCTTTTGTTTTAGTATACTTAAATACAATTATATTGAATACAAAAGTCAGTAAATAACAATTTTCAAATAAAGTAAATTATAAACATGTTAGAAGCACATATTTAAAGCTAGAAAATCAATCATATTCATTATAACAATTTATAGCTTGCGTAGCTGTGTAACACAGCACTTTGGGGTCAAACGCACTTTGGGGTCCAACCCCAAAGTGCGTTAAACTTCGCACCGCACTTTGGGGTCCAACGTACTTTGGGGTTAAAATCGAGAAATTGACACCAAAGTGCGTTAATATGCTACATATCAACGCACTTTGGGTTCAAGAAGTCTAAAGGTGTCATCTGAGTTCTGCTTAAATACTGAGTATTGACTTATTTTCTATCTGCGACATTGGAATATTTGAGGTGGTGTTCAAGATGACGGTCAATACTTTATGATGCTTCAGTGATAAAAGTTTCACTAATTTTACAACTTGAAATATCTAAAAAATGTGTTCAGATAACAAAATTACGGTGTCATAAATCAAAGTGACATTTGCATTTTTTTTGTTTTTAGTTTTGTATACATATTTTATTTTAGTTTTGCATACATATTTTTTAGTTTTGCATTCATATTTTATTTTTGTTTTTCGTACATATTTTAGCCAATCAAAACAGCCTTCAAATCTCATAACAGCCCACAGGTGAGTATAAAACTAGCACAGAGGTTTGGTCACATTTCGGCCCATTTTTGGAATCGGCCCGTGCAAATTTGGTTTCGGCCGACCCTTTTCGGCCGATTTTTTTAATATTATTTGATTTTATATAATTATTGTTTTTTATTATTATATACTATTATATAAGTGTCTATTTGGAAAGGGCTGTTGATTGGTGATCAGTTATTATTCCATGAATATGCACCACTCAACCCCACCCCCTGAGAATTGAGAATTATGAAACTTAGGTCAGTTCTTTAGCACATCTATATAATGTGCAGACCTTATATGCCAGGTGTGCCGGCTCAAGGTCGGGGTCACACCTTCAGTCCAAAGGATAAAGACTTGGATTTCATGTCCGCTCCTTATCTCCGAAACCCCGTGAAGGATTTTAAGGCACCTTGTGACAAATGTTAACCACATCCTGACCATATGCAGAACCTTTCTTTGGGTTACCGCGAACTATATTTTTATATATATATATACTAAAGTGTTGTTATTTATTGATACCTCCAAAAATGAAAATGTTGGTATTTGCAAATGGGGTACTGTAATTTACAGATGGCGAAGTGTTTGAAAATGGTGTTTTACAAATGGTGTAATTATCCAATCCTCTACTTTGCACATGGCGTCATGTAAAAATATGTACAAAAAAAAATGTACAAAAAAACTTAAATAAAATATGTATGCAAACTAAAAAAGAATATGTATGCAAAACTAAAATAAAATATGTATGCAAACTAAAAAAGAATGTGTATGCAAAACTAAAACAAGTGCAACGCTATATGCTCCCACTCTGTGGGGGCATAAAAAGTATGTATTCAAAACTAAAAAAAAAAAATATGTACGACAAACAAACAAAAAATATGTACGAAAAACAAAAAAAAAAGTATCAAAAAAAAAATAAAATACAAATGTCACTTTTATGCCACCGTTCAAAATATTCTAGTACAGAAATTGTGTATTCCTAGAATTAAAAGATGCTGCGAAAAATATCCCTTTCTGTCGGTCATTTACTTGTTAACTTTTGGTGCCATATTGAGCCCCATTTTAAATATGTTGGGAATGAAATAAAATGCAGTTAATATTTTTTTCCAAAGAACTATAAATATACTCTATTGCAATGTTCTGTTGAAACATCAAGTTTTTCGATCGGACTATAAATAGTGACTTTTACAAATACATTATTAGGCTTATCAACAAACTTAAAGGTTTTTGTAAGCTCCGTAACAACCGTTTGCCAGAGGCTTTTTTATGGGAAATCTTACATACTTCTTTAGGAAAAGCAAACAAGAATTCTATAATGTTAAAATAATGGTATCTGAGAAATGTAAGATGCTTGTCACCTGAATAAAGTAGCAATAAATGTGAAATTATTTGTCATAAAGGAAGTCAAAACACTGTAGTATTTAACTTCTATATAAAATACTAATTCACTATAACTGTACTCATCATTGTCAAAAAGGAACAGATGAAAAAGATGGTTCAGGTAATTGGCCAATGTGTATTTTTTTGATAATATAGTGGAACATCAAAATAAAAAAAGCTTTTAAGAAAATCAAATAAAAGCATAATGGGCCTTTAAAACGTTATTTTTAACACTCGGGGAGATCGATACCCCATAATCCCTTCTATACCCCCAGTGAGAATTTTACATTGTTCTGAAGCTCCGCTCTTAATGTGCGACTACTTAAATAGTTGATATTTTTAGTACTGCCTGTACGGACTACTATTTAAAGCCGCATCTACACCTAGTCAAGTTTCTTATATGTCACATTTAGCTGAATTAATGGCTCTTTCAACATATTATCAGGCACATTTTTTACTGAAATGTCTTACTAAGATTTTCCAGAATTTATACCTTTGTCTATGCTAAGACTATCATATTTCTATAAAATGTGTAAATAAGAACGGGAAAAGTTAAAAACAATGGAGTTAATGAAAGGTGTACATTCTTTTAAAATAAATGGAAAATTTGAGGAAAAAAAATAATTTTAGGCTTAATAATTGATACAAATTCTTTATTTGGTGATTAATTTGGTGAAAGTTCTTCACTTACTAATCAAGACCATTTAAATCCCTATTGATTCTACTATTATTCAGGGCACATGTTTGTGTCTATTTAATATCTTGATTTTTTGTTAACCATTGGCTTTGACTACAATATATCATTTAAAACATAATGAACATTAATTTTCTATGACCCCAAAGTGCGGTCGTTTGCCTGGTGTTACAAAATGCATATGTACCTGTTTAACGCACGTTGGGGTCGAAATTGGACCCCAAAGTGTGTAACGCACTCTGGGGTCGGACCCCAAAGTACGTAACGCACTTTCGGATCGGACCCCAAAGTGCGTTTGACCCCAAAGTGCGGTGTTACATAGCTGGACTTATTTCTATCAGACTATAGTAAAGGTGTGCTACTTTAAACACAATCGCGCTGTTAACGTGAAATTTGTCGGCTTCCCACACTAGTTAGTTTACTAATAAAATTCAATGCAGGCATATAGGAAACTGGCAGCACCTCTTAAATACTACGATCCAGGCTATTGTTGGGTGTTTTTGTTTGTTTGTTTTTCTTTTGCAAGAAATACGAACACTTTTTATCACTTTCTTTTACATGCATTTGCCATACAGTATCTGTCTTAAACAACTAATAACTTTTACTATACTACATTTCAGATGTCCTGAACATACTTTGCTTGCGGGACCCGGATAAAAGTTGAAACGTTCATTCACGAAATAGTCACATTTTGCATACTTTCATGGAGATCATTTCCGATTTTACTCTTTAATCTTTATTTTGGATTTTATTGACCTGTCAATAAAAAAGGTAATTTAAAGTCTTACCTTGACATGCAAGAAACATGAAACTTCTGTTTCCAAAGAAGTTGTTCAAAACATATCCCATCATCCCAATAAAATTGATCTATCACCACACAAATCATAATGGTAAACGTCACAAGAGGTTCTGCATCATAAATAATTTGAAAATTTGATCCAATGCCGCTGAAATGATAAAAAACGCAAATTATATTATTAATGGGGGATTTATGCAAAACATTCTTTTACTATTTTATATCTACATGTAGTTAAAGTCCATGATTGTTCTTATATTGCTCAGTTAATTATGAATATAAAGGCTCTTAATGAAAAAAAAAACAGTTGATTTATAATGAAAAGCAGAAAATATACAAATCTTAAGCTGACAAAGTTTATTTCTGCATCCGAAATAGTGCATAAATTCAATGGTTGCTTTGGAAGTCACTGATTGCTAAGTCAAAAGTAAATGCTTGCTGTGGAAGTCATAGGTTGCTATAGAAAAACAATGGTTGCTATGATAAGTCAAAAGGTATCTTGTTGTATACTATTGTTGCTATGCAAAGTCAATGGTTGCTATGAAAGTCACTGGTAACTTTACAAGGGATAACAATGGAAATTACAGGTTGCAAAATAAATTCAATGACTGGTATGGAAGTCACTAGTTTCTATTGCAAAATATATGGAAAAACCTATGAGCCATTACCCAATCCCCATGGAGCCCAGCCTTTTTTACGCCACGGCTATGCTTATATTAACTTGGTAGGGGTACACTAGATAATGTTTCATACCAAATTTGTATGCATTATCTCTTGTGTTTTTAAAGAAGATGTTTACAGTTATATCTATTTACAAAAAATGAAAACAAAAAAGAAAGAAACTCACTGACCTCCCTGGGAGGCCACATTTAGACCCCAGGACTGTAATTGAACACGCTTGGTTCACATTTAGAGGATAAATGAGCCGCGTCACGACAAAACCAACATAATGGGTTTGCGACCAGCATGGATCCTGACCAGCCTGCGCATCCGCGCAGTCTGATCAGGATCCATGCTGTTCGCTTACAAACCTAATAACAAGTATAGAAACTGATAGCGAACGGCATGGATCCTGATCAGACTGCGCAGATGCGCAGGGTGGTCTGGATCCATGCTGGACGCAAACCCATTATGTTAGTTTTGTCTTGACGCGGCTCAGACTTTATCATAAAATTACAAATACGTACCTTAAATATATGACATAACAATAACATCTTACTAAAACAATAAAAAAATAACCTTTCCGGAGTAAAAATTAAGAAACGTTTAACACTTAATATTCACTTTAATCTACATTTATTTATAAATATATACATGTATGCGCTGGTTCAAACTATGTTTAATGTTGAGGTGGTGATGTGCCATTTAATAAACACGTGACATGTATTGTGTATCTGTTTATAGTCTATGTTTAAAAAATGCTTCATTTTTATTGCAAATATAATCTAATTCCAGAATAAAAACAATTCATGAAAAAATAGTTGATTAATGTTGATTTATTAAGATCAAATATTTAATTCGATTAAACGAAAATATAAGAATCGTGTTCACTGTGAATAATCTATTTCAGTTCTTACATATGCATGTATAATAAAATAATAATTAAAGATTTAACATTCAATATAAAATCTCTTACCTGTGAAATATTTCCATTTCTTAATCCAACTTTTATATCCATAAAGATCGGTAAAAACCTGTAAAGACTTCCATGAATTATTTCTTTCAGTTATTTTTTTATCTATAATTACTTGTCACTGAATTTATTAATTGAAAACGGATGTACATGTATGTCCTTATAGATTGAAGATAAAAGTAAAGTTTGAAGAGCCGCCATTTTGTAAGTGTCCATATTTAAATTGTTTTAATTATTTAAAATAATTGAAGTAATTTCTTCGATTTACTTCACAATGCTTTTTCTTGTCTATTCTTTGCTTGGTTTTATTGTTCTGAACTCAAATAGCTGCTGCCTCCGCCTGCCTTCTTGTATCATATGAAAAGTTTGTGATCTCCGAATATATTCTCTAACACGGTCATATTCTGTGTACGGTCTAATGTATCTCATCGTTACTGTAACTGTCTGCGGCAGCTTTTCCAGCACGATAATAAAGTTCTTTAAACTTTCTGCAGACATTTCTATCTCACTCAACACCACACGTTTAATATTCAACATGTCACGTGACAGTAACAATGAACTTTCATCTAGATTGATGTCCATCAACATAACATCAACTAATGGCGGTGTTGATATATTTAATTGTAGCCTCCCAGGTAACTGCCACAAGTGTAACTTTGATAGAGTTGAATGTTGAGACAAGTTCAAGTTCCATCTCTTACAATCATGGCCGCCATGTCCTTTACAGTCTAACCACTCCAATGCTAACTCTTTCATTGATTTTTGACCGGAGATAAAATTGAAAATTGTTTCCAGTATTTTGTGAGATAACGTGAAGCTGCCAATATTAAAATATTGCAAGTTTTGACATCGCGCCATGTTTTCATTCAGATTCTCTTCATCATTTGTCCATGTACCCCACAACAAAGTAACGTAATGTAAACTGGGAAACAATATCCGACTTATCTGAGCCTCCTTCTCCTCGTCACCATAATAGTAAAGTTTCTGTATATGACTGAGATCTGTGAGAGAGAATAAATCTATAATTTCACCTAAACTGCTGGAAGTATCTTTGATGTTGATATAAAGTGATTTTATGTTGGATTTATTTTGTTTTAACAACCGTTGTAACTGCTCACTGTGCACCTCGGTGTTCCCTTCAATGAAGAAATCTTGTAAACATAATTGAATATTTTCACTTTCAGGCATTTCTTGTAAACACGACATGAACATTTTCTGTATGTTATACAATGGCTTATCGTACTTCAACCTATCACCTGTCCAAAAAATAGATAAATAAAGAATCCCTAAAGAAAGCCCAACACGGCAAAATTGAAAATGTTGCAGGCTCGGTTTGATTGAGCCTGTTCATGGACGGTACTGGAAAGTGCAAGTTACCGTCCACGCCCCCTAGCACCGGCTTAAGCAGAATTCAACATTTAAACATGAAATGGTAGAATTTTGAATTTAGAAACATCCGCAGATGTGTTCATACGGCGGTTATCATAGAACCTTCAATGTGACACTTCCGTGCCATTCCATGAAAAGCGGCGTATGGTCCCCAAGTAATAAAAAGCGTGTGCCCTAAACGAGAAAACAATGGGCGGAACTAAATAAAATAGAATTTTGAAAGGGGATCAGAGGTTATGAAGCCTGCGTATCACAGATAAGACGTCAAAAGACAAATTTAAAAAGCAGGCAACATATCCTAAGGGTGATTCAACATTATTCATGTAGGAATATTGGAACCACCCAACTAGAAAATGCCAAAAAGTTGAAACTAAAAATACCACAAGCACAACAATAATGTCGTGCTGAACGATCTTCAAGGATCGAAAATATAACATCATTGATTAAATGTACGGGGCGACTTTTTACAGCCGCCACACGGCACAAATAACACTGATGTGATCTTAAAATAGATAAATAAAGAATCCCTAAAGAAAGCCCAACACGGCAAAATTGAAAATGTTGCAGGCTCGGTTTGATTGAGCCTGTTCATGGACGGTACTGGAAAGTGCAAGTTACCGTCCACGCCCCCTAGCACCGGCTTAAGCAGAATTCAACATTTAAACATGAAATGGTAGAATTTTGAATTTAGAAACATCCGCAGATGTGTTCATACGGCGGTTATCATGGAACCTTCAATGTGACACTTCCGTGCCATTCCATGAAAAGCGGCGTATGGTCCCCAAGTAATAAAAAGCGTGTGCCCTAAACGAGAAAACAATGGGCGGAACTAAATAAAATAGAATTTTGAAAGGGGATCAGAGGTTATGAAGCCTGCGTATCACAGATAAGACGTCAAAAGACAAATTTAAAAAGCAGGCAACATATCCTAAGGGTGATTCAACATTATTCAAGTAGGAATATTGGAACCACCCAACTAGAAAATGCCAAAAAGTTGAAACTAAAAAATACCACAAGCACAACAATAATGTCGTGCTGAACGATCTTCAAGGATCGAAAATATAACATCATTGATTAAATGTACGGGGCGACTTTTTACAGCCGCCACACGGCACAAATAACACGGATGTGATCATAAAATAGATAAATAAAGAATCCCTAAAGAAAGCCCAACACGGCAAAATTGAAAATGTTGCAGGCTCGGTTTGATTGAGCCTGTTCATGGACGGTACTGGAAAGTGCAAGTTACCGTCCACGCCCCCTAGCACCGGCTTAAGCAGAATTCAACATTTAAACATGAAATGGTAGAATTTTGAATTTAGAAACATCCGCAGATGTGTTCATACGGCGGTTATCATAGAACCTTCAATGTGAACCTTCAAGTTCTATAGTCGCGTGTTTCCTTGTCTTCATTTATCACAGACATCAAATCATTTGATATTGCACACATCAGGCCAGCATTCTTTTTATTTATAAATTCACAAATTTTTGACATGTCCAGAATGTCTTGAACATTTCTACATTTTTCTACAACAGTTTTCTGAGCGTCACTTTGAGATTTTATAAATATGGCGGCAAAGAATTCTTGCACTGTTTTGTGAGAAAACGATACTTTGATAATTTCTTTGATTAAAGTTTTACTTCTACTTTCTGACAGTATTCCTGAGAGTAGACTTAATTTCATGTCGTCTGCTTTGAGATATTTTTCAGCAACTGTTCTATCAAATACAAGCGTGTTTTCCCTCTTTTCGTTAAATAATGTTTGATAAGCTAGTTCTGCTAATGATGTTATAAGACTGTAAAAATGTTTACAGAATTCATGACTTATGAAGTATTCTGGAATTTCACCAGTAGACGATTCACGAGATGGTTGAACTTCCGGGTGTTTCTTTGATGTTCTGGATAATAGAAATTCAATGATATTGCTGTAAATTTCATGTTTTGAATTTCCTATAGGAATGTTGTTGCACCATAAGCAAACTATATACATGAGGAGGAGTGGAATCACTTGCATGTGCTCTAAGCGACGGTCACGTATTAATTTATTAAAGTCCTGTCTTTTACTCTGCAATACTCTATCGTCATGGACACCGGTCATTTTCCTTATAGCATTTTCTTTTAGTTGCCGCGTAGAATCTGCACTTAATTGAACCAATTCTACTTTTTTGTTAATTTGACTTGTTTTGAGATTTGAAACTCCGAGCTTCCACGGTCGGGTTGTCGTTAGGATAACACAATTATCAGGTACGTACCGATGTGGGACTTTTTCTGTTACTTCGCCACAACTATTATCAGGGTGTGTCCATTCGTCAAGACCGTCCAATATAATCAAACATTTTTCTCTACGTAAAACTTCATCTAGAGATACAGAGGGACGTAGTTTCTTGGTAATTTGTTGTTCGATCATATCGTCAATGTTACAAACAGAGGTACAGTCTCTTAATAAAACCAAAAATAAGAACTTAAAGTCAAATAACGCCTTTAACTGGTCGTCCTTAAAACGAGGGTAGTTTTCATCACGACAATGAGCTTGGCACCAAGTGATTGCAAGATATTTTGAGAAAGCAGTTTTTCCAAAACCTGCATCAGCTGATAGATAAATTGCTTGTTGATTTCCTTTTCCGGTTGAAAACAGGTCTTTCAAAGACTTTATCGGAGTTCTTTCCTCTTCATGACGAGTTAGGGACTTCTGCTTTACGGCGACTAAATCTGGCATCACATAGAACCCAGCTAAAGGTGTCTCTATTTCTTCCAGAAGCGGTGAGAGAGGTATTGAACTACACCTTTGTCTGTAGAATTTAATCAGGTCGCCTTGAAGTTCTGAAAAGAAAGTAGAAAACAAAGTGTTAATCAGTGACAATCTTTCTATATAATATATGAAATGTTGAGGTGTTTACTAACTTCAAATTTGCATAGTTAGAAACAAGTAATGCATATGGTAAATAAGAAGTAAATAATTATGTAACATTATATAGTAATACAGATGCTATGTTTAACTTTAGCAATGCATAATTATAGCTAAACTTTGTTTTAATAATTGAATAAATTCATATACAAAATGAAGTATTTCCATCGTTATAGGACCTTCAAGTTTCTTCTATAAATACAGGATTTATTTTCATCGAGTCGCATGAACAAAAATATTCACGAGTGGCAGTAGCCACGAGTGAAATATGTTAAATTTCATACCACATGATGAAAATAAATCCTATATTTATAAAAGAAACTTGAATTTTCTGTTTATTATATACTTTTTTTCCTCATTTAGCCTATGAGTAGGAAGAGTTCCCTTTTAATTTTGTTTATTAGCTTAATTTAGAATAAAGTAGTCCGTCAAGACACCAGTGAAAATACGGAAAATACCAGTGAAAAATAATTTTTTACAGTGAAAATATGGAAAATAAAAATACGCATTTTATTTCATCAATATTTCTCAATTGTTCATTCATAAGTATATAATAAATTGTATGCTTGAAAATAAACGTTTTCCTTCTTCATTCTGAATCCAAAGAATTGGTGGGGGAGGGTGTTGATAAGCTAAAGAAGAAAATATTTCTTGATTGATTGAGTGTTTGATTGATTGATTTTCTTTAGACCGGGCGGTCAAGGATAACCTACGAAAGTGCAAGCAGTTATTTCCAGTATGGTCTTTACCTCAGCAGACTCTAGATACAGCTATGAGATACAAGGGAGTCCGAGAACCAGTCCCTAGCTCTTATTGAAAAGATCTCTTGGTTCCTTTACATGCCCAGTGTAAAGCACTGATACATGCGAGAATTACCTGGGTTTCGTACCAGTTAACCTCTAGGTAGGTGGGAAACACTGAAAATGTCTCTGAAAAATCCCAAGGGTGTTACCCAGGATCGAACCCGGAACCTCAGGAGTGACAGTCAGTGGTCTAACCAACTGAGCTATCGCGCCATTATCTTCTTTAGTTAATTGCATGAAAAAAACACCAAGAACGATATATGTTTGAACCGTTTTAAAATGATATTTTTACAGCAAAAATATGAAAACAAATCGTTATAAGGAGGGGGGATTTTTTACTCGAAACAGGAAGTAATTCCTCCTGATTTCTCCATCATTTTAATTTTGCCTAATCGGAATTCCTCGGCTATTATTCATAATCAGACCTAATACGGACTATTGTTTGATTTTATTAATCTGTCGATAGCATACTTATCACGCCCGTTTAACTCACAACGAGTGAAAAATGTCCATCGGTAAAAATGTTGTGAGCAACTTCCGTTCCTCGTTGTGAGCACCCATCTTTGACGTGTGACACGATTAACAAGGTGAGTTTTTCATAATTTTTGAAGATTACAGACATTTATGTAAAAATATCGAAATGCAGTTAGCTAGCGATGTGTTTTCCGAGTATGCACATGTAAAGATATTGCCTGTTGGTGGACAATTTGATGGAAATACCGTGCGACGCAGTCACTCGGGGTAGCTGGAAAACTGGAGACAACTTCTCTTTGGACCTAATTTAACTTTGAAAACGTCGATTCTGATGACGTTTTGTGCATTCTAACGTAAAACAGATGCCCACAAGTCTTCAGCGTAAATTATTATCTGAAAGTCTTCATAGAAACGAAGATATACCCTTTTTTGCTTTAATCCTCGTTGTGAGCACCATAACCTCGTTGTGAGCAAGACAAGCGCAGTGCTTGTCTGGTTTTTATATGTAATTCAGATGGTGAAAATATAATTTTCAATCTACCACAGCAATTAAAACGTTTTTGAACAGCAGCATTTCTTTGCACGACGTTGTGCATACCCCAAAGGGAGGCATATTAGTTTTGAACTGTCCGTCTGTCAGTCCGTCAATCTGTCCGAAAACTTTAACATTGGTCATAACTTCCTTATTAGTAAACGGATTTGATTCATATTTGAACACAACATCACTTAGCACCTTCCTACGGACCTGTATTTTTTTTTTACCTTGACCCCTGAATGGCCTTTACCTTGAAGGTCAAATTGTTCAAAAACATTTAAGATTGGCCATAATGTCCTGGCATAATGTTAAGGCACAAAACATCTTTGGACAAGGCCTTTCAACTATCCTATATTCTTTTGACCTTGACCCCTGAATGACCTTCACCTCGAAGGTCAAATTGTCCAAAAACTTAAAAATTGGTCATAACTTCCTTATAAGTATACGGATTCTACTCATATTTTGAAACAACACCCCTTTAGGCAAGACCTTCAAACTGATCTGTATTTTTTTTACCTTGTTCCGTGAATGACCTTCTAGAACATCCAAAAACTTTAACATTGGTCATAACTTCTTTATAAGTAAGTGGAATTAATTCATATTTGGACACTATGCCCCTTTGGACAAGACCTTCCAACTGACCTATATTTATTTCACCTTGACCTTGAATTACCTTCACATTGAAGATCTAATTGTTCAAAATCAAATAATCTATCTGGTCCATAAATCAAAGGACAAAGCACCAGTTCAGGGGCATTGTCAACTTACCGTGATAGTTCTTGTTTTACATAACTTGGTCAGTCTTCAGCTCAGGATAAACACATGTATGTTTGTATCACACAGATTGTGAAATTGTTGAAATATTCATAAACACCCCGTGATGTCGTGCCACACTAGAGTATACGAAATAAAATACCTGATTTATCTCCACTGATTAGTTCTTTTGTTAATCTGATGACTTGTGAATATGAAGAATAATTTTCAAAAAAATAAAAAGAAGAACTATTGCAAAGAAAAACTTTTGTACAAAAACGTTTTGATTGCTTTTGGTATATTGAAAATTGTATTCTTGCCATTTGAATTACATATTAAAACCAGACAAGCACTGCGCTTGTCTTGCTCACAACGAGGTTATGGTGCTCACAACGAGGATTAAAGCAAAAAAGAGTATATCTTCGTTTCTACGAAGACTTTCAGAGAATAATTTACGCTGAAGACTTGTGGGCATCTGTTTTACGTTAGAATGCACAAAACGTCACCAGAATCGACGTTTTCAATGTTAAATTAGGTCCAAAGAGAAGTTGTCTCCAGTTTTCCAGCTACCCCGAGTGACTGCGTCGCACGGTATTTCCATCAAATTGTCCACCAACAGGCAATATCTTTACATGTGCATACTCGGAAAACACATCGCTAGCTAACTGCATTTCGATATTTTTACATAAATGTCTGTAATCTTCAAAAATTATGAAAAACTCACCTTGTTTATCGTGTCACTCGTCATAGATGGGTGCTCACAACGAGGAACGGAAGTTGCTCACAACAGTTTTACCGATGGACATTTTTCACTCGTTGTGAGTTAAACGGGCGTGCTTATTATACGGTCAAAGCACACAATATATAGATATACTGTAGATTTTCGGCAAAGCACCTTATAACATGTGATTACATTTATTTGTTTCTGTAAAATACATGTAGTTATACTGAGCGTTTAAACGCAATAGGGAGAACTACTAGCTGGTTTGTTCTTCATATTTGCAAACACTTGGTCATTTCTATTAAAAAAAATACTTCAAAAATAAATAAAGAAAAAAAACTTTGACAAAAGTTATCCTCTGACCACTGACCACTCGTATACCAGGCAATCACCTACAGGGATAATCCTGACCAGCAAATTCTATGGGAGAAAATCTCCCCCATTAATCAAATCAATGGGATTTTTTTCAAAATAGTGAGATTTATATTTTTGCTAAAATATCGAAATTTAAGTTACTAAAAATTTAGATCAGCTGTAAAACAAAACTTTATTAATAACTACAGTTAAATTGCATATAATATCAGAACATAAAAGTACACTCAGGTACTAGGAGATTGAATTAAGTCACAATTTGCTTAGTGGTATCAGAAATGTTAATTTACACGGATTGTAAACTAGTATGAAATTTCAACACTGTCATGTCATTTAAAAGTACTTGCATGGACGATTGGAACGTCCACAGCTTGTTAGTCTGAGGACATTCAGACAATATAATAATAGATTTTCCAAAAGGTCATACATAACTTTAGAAAAAAAAGCTACAGATATTAATAAAAAAATAATGAATCCAGAATGATGTCATTTATATGCCTTTCAGTTTGATTTGCCTGCTTTTTTCTTCGAATTATAATGCGCGGTCTTTGCACAGGATATAATATTCATGTATGTTGATTGTTGTAAATTAGATGAAAGTAGGGGACGAAAGAAATCATTACTTTTTAACTAGTTAATACAGTGTAATATGCCGTTAATTTAATTAAGTATAACTCGTCGACAAAAAAACATTATTTTTACTTAAAAATACCGTTACAGTTATATATATTTATATCTGCTCTCTTTAATTTTGACAATCATTTGAAAGTGAAGATTTAATTGACGTTTGATCCCTCCTCCATCTTGCGTAATTGTTAGTTATATGTTAGCGATTTATTTGATTGGTTTAATAATGTCACTTCGATTAAAACAGGAACTCTGATTGGTTTCTCGCGTTAATCGGTAATCTCGCAACACGTGGGAGGAGTCAAATTGTTCCCTGAGTGTCTGTTAATTACACTTTATGACATGTTGGTAAACAAGCGGATTAATGACATTTCGTGTTAATTGAGATGCATGACAGTTCTTTTTCGACAAGGGTAAACAAAGCAAACACACACGACCTGTCATTCACAATTAAAAACTAGGTATTAACATATTTTCTGAAAATTACCATGCGATTTTTTCTCGCGGATACTTGAAAACAATGCGACTTTTTTATTTTTACAGCGAGAATCTCGCAAAATCGCGGTGTTGGCAAATCCCTGCACCTAACAGGATGTGATAACGACTTATATACTTTCAATACATTATTTATATATTCCATATAAATTATTAACTACATGGATATAACCAAAGTTGGATCGAATATTCAAATAAATCTTATATATAATGTATTCATATTTGACAGGTCAATAAAATCAGACTATAAAAGTATTTCTACCACGTGATTTGATATGTAAAACACAGAGTGTAATCTTTGATAAAGAATATATAATATAAATATTTGACATTCAAAAAAAGTCTGTTTCGGTACAATTTTGATTGAAAATGTCTGACAACCATGTTAAAATCAAATTATATTAACATACTGGACCCTATGTCAACAGGTTGGCATTTTGTACTTTCGATTTCTTAAAACATAAGCTTAATAATGCATTGTTAAATTTTATATCTATGAATTTACTAAATTTTGGTAGACTTATACTTGATATATTGGGAGAAAAAAGAACTTAGTCATCAACTCCCAGCATTGAATTGCTATTTACATGGTTAGTTAATTACTAGGTTAGACTGATTTACCATATACATACTATTAAAGAATGATAAATGATGTGTTTTAAAGTAGGCAAATATTCAATTACCAATTTTTATGGCCAAACACAATCACATCTTCTCGGCCCTTTCCACCAAACTTTAAGGACCTCGGACACAATTGAATATTGTGTCAGAGGGACATTAAACTGGCTTATTGAATATTTGTCTACTTTAAAACACATCATCTATCGAGTCACCCACCGTACCTGTGCTCGACCAGTCCATTGCTCGACCAATACTTCTTAATTAAAAAAAAACCCGGAGTTTGTGTGTGCTATTTATAGCTGACATTTAACCTCTACACCACGTTCAAGTTAGAACTTGACAATTTTGCAGACGATAATAAACAGTACAAAAATACATGTCTATAATAAAAGTTGCAGTAAAAAACTATTAAAAGGACTGAAATAATGATAATTTAGGGCAAATTTGGACAATGCTTTGTTAAATGTCCTTTACTCTTATGTTTTTTTATTGAGTTCCATGGGAAAGGCCCCCACAAATAATCAAAACCCGGCTTCCCATACAAGGCAATGGCTATGAACATGTAAACAGATATGGCAGCTGTCCGGACACCACTAAAGGGCAGACCAACTGAATATTACATCAAGTGTCACACTTTACTATGTTTGCAGTGATAGAATATGAGAATAAGTAATCTCAAACTCCCCAGTAAAAAAGCAAAAAGGAAAAAAAAAACTCTTTAAATCACTCTATTTGTCAATGTCTAACATTTCCTTCCTATCATAGTTATCTCCATCGTCGGATACCCACGATTGATAAACATGTAAATGTTAATGGTTCGGCCGTGGCCCAGCAGGCACATCAACGTTGTTTCAACGTTGAATTATGGTCAGATTTCAACGTTGAAATAAGGTTGGATTTATATTCGGATTTGAAAGTTGAAACAACGTTGAAATTTCAACGTTGATACAATGTTGCAGCTTCAACGTTGTTTCAACGTTGAAGTTTCAATGTCATTTCAACGTTGAAAACCCACTATACTTTAATTTTTGGATATAAAGCAAAGTAACCAAGTTTAACAAAATATCAAGACAATATTAAATACTTCAGATATTTTATTTCAAAATTACAGTTCAAGTGCAGCTTAAATTCACTTTAATAGTTTTAACAATTAAACTACAATCTGTTCTAGATCTTTCTGGGTATGTCAAGTGTTTGAGTACTTCTTTGGCTGTCTCTTAGTACTGCTTCTGCAAATAAAAATAAGACGTTTGTAGTTAAAAGTGACTTGGTCAATCTCAAATTATACTTACAATTACTCAACTTAGTGATTTGTTTTCATCTTAAAATGCTTATCTCTAATTTACATCATAAAACAGCATAGAAATTGAAACATATCTAAGTTTCATATTGACAGCAAATACTGCATATAAGACAACAAAATCTTTTTAAAAAGAAGCTATTTAAAAGTCTCACCTATGATTGGTAAGAAAAACTGCCCCCCGTCAGTTCCTTGCAGCATATTCCCCAAGAAATGAACATTCTAGGCTCTAGCTAAGACCATTTTATGCAGCATCCTGAAATCAACAAACATGTAAATTTTATATAAATAATGTTACACGAATATTCCGAAAATAATATATTTTAAGACAAGATAAATATCCAGTAGTTGAAAAATTTATACTTTGTATAGTAAAGAAATTCAAATATATAAATTAATAAGAATAAATTTCAATTTAACAAACCTGACAGTCCTTTTCATGTTGAATGTATGGTATACAGGCTACAGCTGCAATACTCTAAATTTCAACCAGGGCCAGGATCTGGAATATAAAATAATATATAATAAGATAGAAATAGATTTATTCCCCATAAATTTACGATTATTAAACTTTAACACTCAAATTTGTTATTTAACTTAATAATAATGTTTTTTTTTCAAACTAATTAACACTGTATTATACTATCACTAAATGTAAAAATAGTTATATATATTGACGAATCGTCTCAGGACGTAAATTATATGGGCCGAACTATATAGATATAAAATACTTTATATATATGTTTCAATTTTATAATTGATTAAATTCTAATTAGGATATAGTACAGATAATTGTTTAATAATATGAAAAATAAGTTAAAGAAAGACAAGATTTGTAAAATCATAAATTGCCAAGGACTTTAATAACTTCATGCTTACAAGGCCTACCGATCGCGAAAACGTGTCAAATCAACTCAATCATGTGTTTTCATCTCTCATTTATTTCATAAAGTAAATTAAAGTAGAATTGTAAGAATGAATAATAATATTTTAGAAAATAATCAGTAAACTAAAGTAAAACATTACGGTAATACCTCCGAAATCCAAATAAATTGCCAATCGTGTTGTTTTCAAATTTTCTAAACAGCGCCACCATTTGCACGAACGATAATCATAGACAACAAACAAAATCATAGACCGCAGCAATTACTTCCCCTGACCAGCGTTATTTTATAAACGGGGTTTTGACTAATACCAATTTATTAATTAATATTATTCATAAAGAACTAAAAAATAAAACAACAAAACATATTAACTAATATTTAAAGCGTTAATAGAAAGTGAAAAATTATTCCCAATTTTATTTGTTTCAGCGCTAATTTTGAATAGATCTATACGGAAAAAGATTGTGACGCAAATTTTCCTGACAGAAATCACTTACAGACTAATTCAATAAAGGAATAATAACACAAAATTAGTGGTATAAAAGTTTATATAATGATTAAACTAAATGTAAAACTTCGACCATAAACAACGTTGAATCAACGTTGTATATACATTGGCTATATATCCGTATGGTCGTCCATAGTTGAATATTGGTTGAACAACGTCACGACCATATTTCAACGTTGTTAAAACGTTGAAACAACGTCGAGTGCCTGCTGGGGGGTATCCGACGATGAGTTATCTCATATTTACATCCATACACACATAAATGTTCCAAAATAGATTTGAAATAAAATTGTTAAACACAAAAAGTCATATCTGTTTTTTTCAAATAAAAATAAAACAACCTGGTCGAGCACAGGTTACGTTGCTTTAAAAATATAGTGGTTTTAGGCCCTATGTACAACTCCTTGGTAAATGGTATCCTGATCTGTATCATTAAAACGCTTTTGTTTATTATGAGTTTTGAAGGCTTAGCTTTGTAACAAAAATAAGTTTTCCGAGCAATCTTTTTGTTTTGAAAGAGTTTTTATGTGATTTTGTGAAATACTGGTTGAGCACTGGTCCGGTGACTCTAACATATTTCATGTTTATCCTTCATTATCTGATATTTGACATTTTTCATGCATAATATTTAATGTTAAAATATGAAATGTTGAATAACCTTTTTCACGGCTAATTATTAAAATCAAGCCACCTGCATGTTTGAACTCAAGCTCACTAGACTTTGTTTTTTCAGAGTATAACTCGGCTTTCAAATATAAATGAGTGGAAAATGTCTAAACGAAGTTGACTATAATCATATATAACATCATAAGTCACCAATAATTTGAAATAAAATAAAACAATAAAGTGTCGTCTGCTTTCACTTCCGTGACAAATTAACATATTGTAAAGACATTTTTTAAAACATTCGAAATATAGAATAAATACATTTCCAATAAATCAAAATCTTACCATTCTATCACTATACTTCTAAAGAATTTGCATCAAAAGCAAAAACAAACATAAAAGAAAAGTGTTTTAAAAAAATGTTCCATCTCTGGTGAATATACGCGGACAACTGAAACAAACATATATCTATAAATAGAAATTTATTACTTTTTGACAGGATTAAAGGTAAAACAGTGCATATTATCACGGGGGAGGAACGGTTACACGGAGGATTGAGTAATTACGATAACTGTCACGGAGTTTATGGAACTTTTCATATGTGATCTTCTTCGTTGCCATACCTTATTACCTAATTATAATGGAAAGTTGCAAATGTAATGCTTATAGATTACCCGATTTTCTAAATGTCACGGTCGGAGTTCTGGCGATAACTCTGAAAATGTCCTAGAGTTCTTATGATAACTTTTGTTACTGCCAGTATGTTTCAAAATTGTGCGATGTTACGGCACGTTTTAGTAATTTTATTTGTCAATAAGTGTTAATCATTATGAAGCGTAAAGTACGTAGAACGCTTATCATTTGCACAAGCATTTGGTTATATAAGGTTGGTTTTGGCTGAACTTCAGTTCAAAAGATAGGTTTTACTTATCTCCGTTTCTTTTTTTCAATTTATAGAATGTTTTGCTAACACATGTTTTGTAAACTGAAAAAAAGGCTAAATATAGAAGATTAACTTACAAGATAAAAATATGCTTTGAATTCAATACTGGCAGTTTAAGAGAACATTAAGTTACAATATGTTATTGGTCTGCCGAAACAAATTGCATGTAAATGGTTTGCAGCAAAATATGAAGTAGTACCTGCCTACATACCTACCCACCTGCATGCCTACCTACCTGACTTCCTACCTGTATGACTACCTACCTGCATGCCTACCTACCTACCTGACTGCATACCTGCCTGCCTACCTACCTACCTGACTGCACACCTGCCTACCTACGTACCTACCTGCCTGCCTACATACCTGACTGCCAATCTGCTTGCCTGCCTGCCTACCTACCTACATACTTGTTTACCTGACTGCCTACCTACCTGCCTGTCCACCTACCTACCTGCCTGCCTGCCTACCTGACTGCCTGTCTGCCTTCCCACCTACCTACCTACGTGCCTTCCTACCTACGTGCCTTCCTACCTACTTACCTACCTGACTGCCTATACCTACTTTGCCACCTAAGCCCTCCCCCCTACCGGTAACAAATATCATGCTCCTTCAGCATAATCTTTATATACTTAATTCAAACAAACCGAAAAGGAAGTGACGTTATGTCAGTGAGCGACGTCCGTCATGTCGTTGTATGTCGTCGTCCGCATCATTCGTTTATTCGTTATTCACTTAATCTTTATATACTTAATTCAAACAAACCGAAAAGGAAGTGACGTTATGTCAGTGAGCGACGCCCGTCATGTCGTTGTATGTCGTCTTCCGCGTTATTCGTTTATTCGTTATTTACTTAATTAATCTTTATATACTTAATTCAAACAAAACGAAAAGGAAGTGACGTTATGTCAGTGAGCGACGTCCGTCGTGTCGTTGTATGTCGTCGTCCGCATCATTCGTTTATTCGTTATTCACTTAATCTTTATATACTTAATTCAAACAAACCAAAAAGGAAGTGACGTTATGTCAGTGAGCGACGCCCGTCATGACGTTGTATGTCGTCTTCCGCGTTATTCGTTAGTGTTTACTCCATTAGGTCGCGGATATGCCTTTAACATATTTTTCACAGATTTTCGATTGTTTTTCTGAATTGCCCGGTCCCGTACAGTTTTCGTGCACTGCAGATGTTGTCGTGAGAGTAATTGATAAAAAGCATGAATTATATATCACTTGAAGGTGAAATCTGTCTCAAATAAGAAAACAAAAGAAAAAGACCGTGTGACCGGCGTGTCGTGAAAACGACTCATTAAACAGTTACCTTAGTAACGTAAAACCGGCGCACGACAAAAAATTGGGTATCCTTTAAGCACTACAATTAAACGTCAAAATTCAGGGAAACTGTGTTTACGTATTCCTGACGTCACTAGAAAATATGACGTCATTTGCCCTATTGTAACTTTTCCGTGTGGTCGTCAAAGAAATGGGAGTATAACGGGAAAACGTTGGATATTGTAGATACATTTAATTATCTTGGAACTGTATTTGGTTCAAATGGTAATTTTAACTGTAATCAACAATTGTTAAAAAAGCTATGAATTTGTTAAACTATAATATCCGTGAATTTGATTTTACTCTTAAAGTTCAATGTCAGCTGTTTGACTCATTTGTAACATCTATATTAAGTTATGCAGCTGAAGTGTGGGGTAATTCAAAAGCTAAAGAAATTGAACGAGTGCAGTTAAAGTTTTGTAAAAGACTTCTTAATGTTAAAATGTCAGTAAGTAATGTGTCTGTATATGGAGAGCTAGGGCGCTATCCGCTTTATATAAATCGTTTTGTTAAGATATTCAAGTTCTGGATAAAAGTTTTAAATTCCGATAATTGTATCATTAAAAACGTTTATAAGGAGCTGTTTAATGATGCTATTCATGGTAAAAAGAACTGGGCATATAAGTTAAAAATTTTATTAGAAAACTATGGATATGGATATCTTTGGGAAATACAGGACAGTATTATTGACGGTAAAAGTTTGATTCCGTGTTTTAAACAAAGAGTGATTGACTGTTTTCTTCAGGAATGGAGAAGTGATATCGATAGCAAACCTGTATTATTGGTATATAAACATGTTAAAGAGAATTTCGAATATGAACCTTATTTAGACTTGTTGAACAAATCACAGAGACTTTTCATAACAAGAATGAGAACATCTGCGCACTGTTTACGCATAGAAACCGGGCGTTATGGACATAATAGAATAGACAGAGAATATAGACTGTGTCAAATTTGTGAAAATGGCGAGATTGAGGACGAATATCACTTTATGCTTAAATGTGCGAGATACAGAGTCATTAGAAAACGATATATTAATGAATATTTTTCACTACGACCAAGTATGTTTAAGCTAATTGAACTGCTAAGATCTGTGAATCACAAGACAATGACAAATTTGGTGATGTTCATCAAATGTGCACTTAAAATTCGAGAAAACATGCTACGACAAAATGACTTTTCATAAACTCTATATTAAAATTTATTGCCGACTGTTTAATGAGTTAATTAATTTGCTTGTCAACACATACCTTCATTTACGTAAATAATATTTATATTCATATTAATTTTATTATTTATTTGACATGACCTTTATATGTAATGCATGTATAGATGATAAACTATGTTTAAATCTAAAATCTAATAAACAATATGTTCTGTTCTGTTCTGTTCATAATTTAGTTTGGTACACAACTGGTACTCTTTCCTATGATTATATTTTTCCACACATCAAAAAACAGCTGAAGTGATGGATGTTCAAAACACTTCATGCTCTTCAAAATGCAGTGGTCTGAATCATTTGTACAATTCCAAGTGACCTTTACAGGGTCACATTTAAGAAATGGGTTGACCGCAACATGCGATGCATCGAATGTAATGGGGAATACTTAAAAAGTTGTTAAAACGTGTATGACGCTGTAACATTATGACGGTGACTTGGACGTCATACGTTTAACGCGCGCCATTGCAGCTGTGATTGTATTATAATCTTTTATTGCTTGTAAAGTGGCATTTCCTTTTTATGTCATAATTTGTTTTACTGTCAAAAGAGGAATGATTGATGCAAAGTATTTTGTAGTTTGTTCTTATGCAACCCACATGTGCACAAATAAATTGGACAACCCTCGTATATTTTAAACAGTTTATATTTTGTCATAATTTGTTTTACTGTCAAAAGAGGAATGATTGATGCAAAGTATTTTGTAGTTTGTTCTTATGCAACCCACATGTGCACAAATATATTGGACAACCCTCGTATATTTTAGACAGTTTATATTTTATAACCTAATATTTTTTATATAATTATTATTATTATTATTATCATCATTATTATTATTATTGTTATTATTATTATTATTAGTAGTAGTAGTAGTAGTAGTAGTAGTAGTAGTAGTAGTAGTAGTAGTATTAGTATTAGTATTAGTATTAGTATTATTATTATTATTATTATTATTATTTGTATTACATTTCTATCAGTTTTTGATTAATTGCCATCTAATAGTCGATATTTTAAAAAATATAACTAATTCACCTCTACGTAACTTTTACACATTATGGATCTCCGTAAGAAAAAAATATTTTATATTGATGTATACATCCTTTTAACTCCAACTATTTCTCGTTAAACAATGTTTAAGCATGACATATTTTCATTTATTGGAAGCTCATTTTATTCTAGTAGGGATGCTGTGGAATTTTCCTGTAATTTATTGATACAAGACATTAGCAAACTTGTATATCACGTAACATTCTATTAAAATAATTTCATGTCTTCAATTATAATGTTTCGGCCGGTGAAGAAATCGTGTGTACATAAAAAAAAACAAAAATTACCGTCTAGCGGGAATCACACTCGAAATTTTCTTACTCATCGGATGACAGAGTAAGGAATACTCCAACAAAACATTAACAACAACATATTCACACCGTATTACCGGCGCCAGTGATAGCAGATAGCTGAAATTTACCGCTCGGTACAGGTAAGTTATACATTTGGTTGTATTATGATTTTACACAACAACGACCTATTTTATTGCTATGAAACTATTGCCCATTGACTGGAGATACTATAACGTGAAAATGTCTGTTTTTTGTTCAAACTATCTAAAGTTTTAACCAAATGGCAGAATTTCATGTTTTAAATATAAACGTTTATCCATTGGGGTCACGCAAGCCAAATACAGCATTTTTTCTTCGATCGGACCAGATTGAACGTCTATAAAACTTTTAAGAAAAGACTCACGGGGTAAGTATTTGGCTTGCGTGACCCCTATGGATGAATGTCTATATTTATAACACGAAATCCTGCCATTTAGTTAAAACTTTAGATATTTTGAACAAAAAACAGACATTTTCATGGATTTTTCCGCAGCTGTCACCTTTAACCTGCTCAAAATAGTCTAAAAGCAGGAGAAACGAGTCCAAAATTACCTAATAGTATCTCCAGTCAATGGACAATAGTTTCATAGCAATAAAATGGGTCATATTTGTGTAATATAATAATACCAAGAAATAAGGACCACCCAAAGAGAGAACATGCATGGCCTTTAATGACAAAAGGTATTTATTCTGAATATACATTTTTCAATGAAAGTTTCTCAAAAGTGGTCTTTAACTACACGGTGGTCTTAAATCGGAGGATGTCTCTCTTAATTGTTTGACTGTATCTCAATTCTGGAAAGTCAAATGCATAGCGTATTTAAGTACATCTTACTTGTTTTCATCCGGTTATAACGTATCCACTCATCTCGCTCGAACTCGGAGGGCCTGTGCAAATTTGTTCGAGAGATCGGTAGTTTGAGCCAACCGAGGTTGAACTATTATTACGTTGATCATATGCCTAAAGGTTTTCCTAGCTTACATCCGTCGAAAGATAAATACGTCAATGAAATTGTTTGTTAGTACATCTGTTCGTCGCATATTTCATATTCAGAATTATTATCCCAGTGTTTTAATTAAGTATTAACGGTACGCTGTGTTAATCTATGTTCATGCATATTGCAATTGGTTGAGTTCGAATTGGCAATCACACCAAACTTGTTGAACAATGTTCAAAATATACTTATATGTTTATAATAGGATGAATTCAATTTTAAATAATAAATAACTGAAATATTTATTTAAAACATTTACAGCAGCATCTATTTGAAGTCATCATTTAATAAATAAATACACATACAAGTATCATTCTATAAATAGATAACACTGTTAAGGATTCCTTTTTCATGAACCACGGTTGTAATTAAAGCCGTCCGGGTAAACGTCATTCTTTATTGGCATGCATATTTCACTTATTTCACGAGTTATTTTCTTTTAATCGTTACCATAAACGGCAAATCAACAATATTATCATAACAAACAAATCGGTTACAACACCTCTTATTTTGTATCAATTTACCTTAATTACCTTTGTCACGATCACGAGGTGTTAAAAACATGTGTCGCCGACTGTCATTTATTTAGGACATACCGACTTGTCTTATTGTGTTCGACCGAAAAGGTGTGATTTTCACTATATTTCTGTCGAAGGGACCAGAGATCAGGTTCGAGAGTTCGAGCGATCGGTGTTCGAGCGATCCGAGGTAGAACAATATATATTATATAGGAATTTTGCCGGGACTGGGCGATGAATTCGAGCGAAGGGAGGTATTCGAGCGATCCGAGTTCTAGCGAACGAAGTTTAACTGTACTATTATACTATTATATTAGTGTCTATTTGGAAAGGGCTGAAGATTGGTGATCAGTTATTATTATGAATATGCACCACTCAACCCTACACCCTGAGAACAGCGGGGAGGGGGCATTGACTTTAAACCAAGCCGATCACTGGTTAAATCTTCGCCCTGCGGGGGATACTCAGATAACAACATTCCTGCCTTATGCCCCGGAACAATGCAAACATCAGAACACGATTCTTTTTTTACCCGCACTCCCCCGTGGGCAAGAGAGGTGGTTACAAATGTATTACAATAATGCACAGCAAAAGATCTAAAAAAGGTTCCTTATATTCCACTGATTTAGAAAAAAATGCTTAAAGCTAAGCTTTGAAGGATTTTTATGAAAATTGGGTCAATTCTTTAGCACATCCAGATAATGTGCAGAACTTATATGCCAAATGTGCCTGCTCAAGGTCGGGGGACACACCTTCAGGTCAAAGGATTAAGACTTGGGTTTCATGTCCGCTCCTTATCTTCAAAACCCCATAAAGGATTTTCAGGCACTTTGTGTAAAATGTTAACCACATCGAGACAATATGCAGAACCTTTCTTTGGGTTAAAGCGGACTATATATATACTAAAAGTGTTGTTATTTTTTTTGATACCTCCAAAATGAAAATGTTGGTATTTGCAAATGGGGTACTGTTATTTACAGATGGCGAAGTGTTTAAAAATGGTGTTTTAAAAATGGCGTAATTATCCAAACCTCTACTTTGCAAATTGCGTCATGTAAAAATATGTACGAAAAAAAAAACATAAATAAAATATGTACAAAAAACTAAAATAAAATATGTATGCAAAACTAAAAACGAATATGTATGCAAAACTAAAAAAAAAGTATGTATTCAAAACTTAAAAAAAAATATGTACGACAAACAAACAAAAAAACTGTACGAAAAACAAAAAAAAAGTATAAAAAAATGCAAATGTCACCGTTCAAAATACTCTAGTACAGAAATTGTGATTTCCTAAAATTAAAAGATGCTGCGAAAAATGTCCCGTTTGGCAGTCATTTACTTGATAACTTTTGGTGCCATATTGAGCCCAATTTTAAATATGTTGGGAATGAAATAACATGCAGTTAATATTTTTTTCCAAAGAACTATAAATATACTCTATTGCAATGTTCTGGTGAAACATCAAGTTTTTCGATCGGACTATAAATAGTGATTTTTACAAATACATTATTAAGCTTATCAACAAACTTAAGGGTTTTTGTAAGCTCCGTAACAACCGTTCGCCAGAGGCTTTTTTTAATGGGAAATCTTACATACTTCGTTAGAAAGAGCAAACATGAATTTTATAATGTTAAAATAATGGTATCAGAGAAATGTAAGATGCTTGTTACCTGAATAAAGTAGCGATAAATGTGAGATTATTTGTCATAAAAGTAGTCAAAACAATGTAGTATTTGACTTCCATATAAAATACTAATTCACTATAACTGTACTCATCATTGCCAAAAAGCAACAGATGAAAAAGATGGTTCAGGTAATTGGCCAATGTGTATTTTTTGGATAATATAGAAGAACATCAAAATAAACAAGAGGGCCATGATGGCCCTGAGGTCGCTCACCTGTATATAGGCCCCCCGGACCCCCCCCCCAAACGTTACAGGGCCAATTTAACCCAAGGGCTTTAAACCCGACAATATGCGCCAGAGCACTTGATGACAAAGCTTCTGTGAAAGTTTGGTCAAAATCCGTTGAGAAATGTAGGCGGAGTTGCGCACAGAAGAAATTGTTTACGCCCGCCCGCCCGCCCGCCCGCCCACCCGTCCGCCCATCCGCCCGCCGACATACCTCAATCTAATAACCAGTTTTTTCCTTCGGAAAACCTGGTTAACAATGACACCCCTGGGGCCGGGCCAGTTTTGACCCCAGGGCTTTTATTTGAACAAACTTTGTAGACACTTACTAGAAGATGTTTGATGCTTAATATCTAAACTCTAGCTATTTGGGTTTTTTCAAAGAAGATTTTACGTTTTTGCTATACACATATCAAGAAAATCAATGACCCCTGGGGCAGGGCCAATTTTGACCCCAGGTCTTTTATTTGAACAAACTTTGTAGACACTCACTAAAAGATGTTTCATGCTTAATATCTTAACTTTAGCTATTTGGGTTTTTTCAAAGAAGATTTTTTAAGTTTTTGCTATATGCATATAAAGAAAATCAATGACCCCCGGGGCGGTGCCAATTTTGACCCCAGGGCTTTTATTTGAACAAACTTGGTAGACACCTATTAGAACATGTTTGATGCTATATATCTTAGCCATAGCTCTTTGAGTTCTTTAAAAGAAGATTTTTAAGTTTTTACTATATGCATATAGGGAAAATAAATGACCCCCTGGGGCGGGGCCAATTTTGACCCCAGGGCTTTTATTTGAACAAACTTGGTACACACTTATTAGAACATGTTTCATGCTAAATATCTTAGCTCTAACTCTTTTTGTTCTTTAAAAGAAGATTTTTTAAGTTTTTACTATTTGCATATAGGGAAAATCAATGACCCCCTGGGGCGGGGCCAATTTTGACCCCAGGGCTTTTATTTGAACAAACTTGGTAGAGACCTATTAGAACATGTTTGATGCTCAATATCTTAGCCATAGTTCTTTGAGTTCTTTAAAAGAAGATTTTTTAAGTTTTTACTTTTTGCATATAGGGAAAATCAATGACCCCCTGGGGCGGGGCCAATTTTGACCCCAGGGCTTTTATTTGAACAAACTTGGTAGACACCCATTAGAACATGTTTCATGCTAAATATCTTAGCTCTAGCTCTTTGGGTTCTTTAAAAGAAGATTTTTTAAGTTTTTACTATATGCATATAGGGAAAAATCAATGACCCCCTTGGGCGGGGCCAATTTTGACCCCAGGGCTTTTATTTGAACAAACTTGGTAGACACTCACTAGAAGATGTTTCATGCCAAATATCTAAGCTCTAGCTCTTATGGTTTTTTAAAAGAAGATATTTAAAGTTTTTTCGCATGGAATTAAATTCTTTGAACAATTTTTAAAGGTGACCACCAAAGGAACATTCCTGTGAAGTTTGGATGAAATTGGCTTAGTGGTTTATGAGGAGATGTCATTTAAAGTAAAAGTTTACGGACGGACGACGGACGGACGCCGGACGAAAAGCGATCACAAAAGCTCACCCTGTCACTTTGTGACAGGTGAGCTAAAAACGGGAAAATAATCCATTTAGCTTTAAAACAATGGAGTTAATGAAAGGTGTACATTCTTTTAAAATAAATGGAAAATTTGAGAAAAAAAAATATTTTAAGCTTAATAATTGATACAAATTCTTATTAGGTGATTTATTTGGTAAAAGTTTTTCACTTCCTAATCAAGACCATTTAAATCCCTATTGATTCTACTATAATCCAGGGCACATTTTTGCGTCTTTTTAATACCTTGATTTTTGTTAACCATTCGCTTTGACTACAATAAATTATTTAAAACATTATGAACATTAATTTTCTATGACCCCAAAGTGCGGTCGTTTGCCTGATGTTAAAAAATGCATATGTACCTGTTTAACGCACTTTGGGGTCGAAATTGGACCCCAAAGTGCGTAACGCACTCTGGGGTCGGACCCCAAAGTACGTAACGCACTTTGGGGTTGAACCCCAAAGTGCGTTTGACCCCAAAGTGCGGTGTTACAGCGCTCAGCGGGGGACCATGACTGCATTAACATTGCTCTCTAACCCTGAGAAACTCGAGGACAAATTTCAATATAGCGGGGGAGTATTATAAGAATCTTACACTGGCTGCC